AAAAAAAGGGAAAAAAAAAAAGAAAAAAAGGGAAAAAAAAAAAGAAAAAAAGGGAAAAAAAAAAGAAAAAAGGGAAAAAAAAAGAAAAAAGGGAAAAAAAAAAAAAAAGGAAAAAAAAAAAGAAAAAAGGGAAAAAAAAAAAAGAAAAAAGGGAAAAAAAAAAGAAAAAAGGGAAAGAAAAAAAAGAAAAAAAGGAAAAAAAAAGAAAAAAGGGAAAAAAAAGAAAAAAGGGAAAGAAAAAAAAAAAAGGGAAAAAAAAAGAAAAAAGAAAAAAAAAAGAAAAAAAAAAAAAGGAAAAAAAGGAGAAAAAAAAGGAAAAAAAAAAGAAAAAAAGGAAAAAAAAAGGAAAAAAAAAAGAAAAAAAAGCAGTTTTTTTGTTTAAATAACTCCGGGTGGGGCCTGCAGGGCGGGGGGGGGGGAGCCCGGCCCACGAGGCTCTGGGCAGGGCCCCTCGGGGGGGGACACCTCCCCCAGCCCAATTCCCCCATTTCTCCCCCCAACCCCCCCCCGCGCCCCTCAGCCCGTCCCCATGGCAACGGGGGGGGGCGCCCATTGGCTGCTGCCAGCGGTGACGTCACTTTTAGGGGCTCCCCCCCCCCCCCATTCCCCCCCCCTTCCCCCCCTTCCCCCCCCCCCCCCCCCCCTCCCCGTGAGGGCCCCGTGTGGGCCCCGCCCCTCCCCTCCCGTGGGCGCGGCGCGGCGCGGCCCAGCCCCGCCCGGCCCCGGCACGGCCCCACCCGCCCCGCCCCGCCCCGCCCGGCGCCGCCCGGGGCCCGGGGCAGCGGCGGCGGCGGCTGCGATGCGCTCGGAGGAGGCGCACGGCAAAGTGAGAGCGGCCGCAACCGGGCCGGGGGGGAGCGGGGCCGGGCCAGGCCGCCTCCATCTTGAGCGGGCTCTTAAAGGGGCCGCGGTGGGGCTGAGGGGGGGGGGGTTGGGATATACGGAAGGGGTGGGGGGGGGTGGGGGGGGGGGACGCGGCCCCGCAGGTGCCGCCCCGCCCCGCGCGGGGCCTCCCGGGGCCTGCCCGGGCTTGGGGGCAAGGGGGGAGCGGGGCCATGTTGGGAGGGGTGGGGTGGGGGTGAGGGGGGGGCTCCCGCCCTGTGCCCTCCCCCCCTGTGCCCTCCCCCCCCTCCCGTCCCCTCCCCGCCGCCCCGGGGGTGGCGGCGCCTTTAAGCGCGGCCCCGCTTCCGGGGAGCGCGCGCGCGGGGAAGGTCACGGCGGGAGGCGCGGGGGGGGGGGGGGGGGGGGGGGGGCGAGGCGCGACGTCGCCGCGCGCGCGCGCCCCCGCCCCACCCCGCCCCGCCCTTTGGTCTTAAAGGGCCCGGCCCCTTTAAGAAGGCGCGGGGGGGGAGGGGGGGAAGCCACGCCCACAGCTCCAAGCCACGCCCCCTTTATAGCCCCGCCACCCAGGCCACGCCCACATTCGGAGGCCCCGCCCCCTGGCACGGGGTGGGGGGGATGAATTTTTTCACCTTTCTGCTGCCTCTGTACAATGCTCATGTTATGATCCATAACTCAGATGACACTCAACTCTCTTTACCCTCTTCTAGTTGATACATAGCCTAGTTCCAATTTTGCCACACCTTGTTTGTAAGCTGTATATATTCTCATCCCATGCACATACTCCAATCTCATCCTTCCTGCTTCAACTTCCCTCAGATCACTGCTATTTTTCATAGCTTTTCCTGCTTTCAAGCTTCACACATGCTGTCCTTAAGATTAGGGTAGTCCCAGATTCACTGTATAAATTTTTCACAACATTTTTCATATGCTCCTCCTCAGCCAGCCCCCCACAAGGGTTTACAGCTGTTACTTTTAAGCTTAGACCATGGGTTCTGCTTGGGAAGAGCTGTATGATGATAGAACAACAGCTAGTGATGCACTCACCTTCTTGCCACAGAGAACTGCTACTCCACCATTTTCTACAAAAGGCAGATCACGAGCAGGCACATAGAATGACGGTGGCTGGAAATATATGCTGAAAAAAGCTCAATTATCAAATGAGTTCCAGTTTCTCTCTGACACCAGCTATCTGGAAATTACCAATGATATGAAGACAACTCTGTGCACCTGTAACAAGCTCCAGAATTTATTTATTTTTAAAAACTAGCAGCTTCACACTGTTAAGTTCATGTATTTACTTCAGTAAGGGTTTATATCATAAATGTCACAAGGATCCAGTGAGATCCTAGGTTCCTAGAGCTCTGCTCTGAACTGTGAAGCTATACCCTCACCTATACCACTAACTTATTTCACAGGATTTCTCCCAGCAGCATATGATTAAGGGAATCACAGCAAGATTCAAGTGATGTTTAGCACTAAGCTAACACAACGTACTAAGCAGCACGTAACTGCCACCTCTGGAACATCTCAGCATCTCTGAGAAGCCCCTCTCCACATGCCTGCAGCCTCTTATTGTGGAGTCTCTTGGACTCCGCAACTCAGATGGTCCAGTGCAAAATATCACACAGGTTCTGCCCACAACATGCAACGATCTGTTCCTTCTTCAGTCACTCTAGTGGCAATGAACACTTCCATGCACAACCCAGGGCTCTCTTCATCGCAGGGAGACATGAAGTCTACTCAGTGATCTGTTTAAACAGCATCGCTGCTGTGTTCCTCAGAGCTCTCCAGTAGCTCTCTCACAAGAACACTTTTATCATCATAAACACTTTCATAAACACTCTCCTTCGTCTTTGCTAAGTGACATACCTCCTCTCCTTGCCATTCCACTGTTTGAATCGCAGAGTCTCCGTCACATTTGGATCATCTGAGAACCACAGTTCTTTGGAAAGGGGCGGACGCATGTAGGGCAATGAAGGATCTTCAGACACAATCAGCACCTTTAATTGGTCATTAAACTTATCAGTTGAACTGATGCAGGCAATGCCAACACACACAAGGGCTCCGAAGCAAGCATGGTATTCAGCCATCCACCCAACTCTGCTCTAGAACAGGGCATCTCTTACCCGGGCACCAGGGTCACGAGCCCGAATGGACGGGCAGCAGCAAAAGCAGCAGTTCCTCCACCGATTAGCAGGAAAGGAACATGAGATGGGACCTCAGGGTGAGCTTCTGGAGCTGCAGGTGACATATTAGACATTTTACTACAAATACAACATGAAAAACTGCCCAGCAGCAAAGAACAGAGTACACCACCGACATCTTTCGCATACAAATTTCCTTTGTCAGACTGCCCTTCAAATACTTTCTCCTCCCTTCCCTTCCAGCCCAATATAGTTCCCATGAACCATGCTGCTGCTTCACTAAAAGCAGGCTCCCCACATAACTCAAACTGGCATATTTTATCAAACAGTTTTTCTAAGCTAGATCTACACAGCTGATCTCAATGACTACTGAGAGTTTTAGAACAGGCCAGCAGCACAGCTTACATCATTTAGCTTATCTGTTATAGATCTACTTTTCTCTGGTTTAAGAGTTTGGGAGGAGTAAGAACAATCTACATAGCAGGTTTGAATACTAACATTTGGACAACCTGTTAAATGCTTGTCCAGCAGACTCTCAAAGAGCTTCATTTTACTAACTGATCTATTTAAGCATGCTGCTTACGTTTGCACAGCTCAGTGAAGAGGCTGCAAAGTCAAGACCCCCAAAGTTTGTTTCTGGCATTGAACATGCAATTTCAGAAGTTTCAGATAGCATCAGGACATTCTCTGTAGAGTATAATCAGGATAGCGAAAACATGCTCAGACTCTACTTTGGCCAAATATTGTACTAGAAATCCAACAGTCAGGTTTTATAGTAAATCTGTTGAGTTAGCAAGAGAGACAGCCAAAAAAAGTATTCAGGAGAAAAGACCTCATAATTCTACATGACAGGGTTGCCATTCAAATCAGGAACCAACGTCAAAATTATTTGGGAAATACAATCTGCTGAGTGTTTGATCTAGCTACACTTCCTCAGCACCTTTACGGACATAAATCAAGACCAAAACTCTGCACTGGACAATCAGTTTATAAGAAAACAAATTCTCAAAACCATACCAGGTATGGTTTAATAATAGGTAATAATAGGTAATAATATCCTAAGGTATATTATTTTTAATTGCATTCCAAAAGGAGACCAGCTTTTGAATTCCTACCAGAATACCTTTCCCCTCACACACAAGTGCTGTTTCTAAACAACATGCAGTTAAATTGTATGTAGGAATAAGTCAAATATTACCATTAAGACCTCACCTGCTGAGCCCCGAGAAGCAGCACCTGTATGTGAAAAAAAAGTCAACACTGACTTAATGCAACAAAACACAATCTAACAAGGATAACTTTAGGAAGTTGCAGATCAGAGCTGATTCAAGGAGACCACGTTATTAACAGACTCTTCACCATAAAGGGGCAGAGACTCCAGAAACATTGACTTACAGACCTCTGCTTCAACACCTAACCTCTCACTCTCTTTTCCAGCCTCAACCCTGATAAACATGTTTTATCCTCTTCTTCAGACCAAAGCAATTACTTTGCTGTCCTGTTTCCAGGATAATATGTTGGTTTCATAACCAAGCGACATAGAACATGCTATTTTTTTTTACGACCTGAAGCCACTCTTACTATGAAATACACCGTTCTTTGGCCCAACAGCTTAGACAGCGCAGCTTGAGATCTCATACACTACAAAAGACCTTCAGAAACTAACCTGTGGGCCACACAGTCTGCCAGGCATCAAGAGCTTCACTAATTGTCAAGATTCCTTCATTTATACATGACCCAAGCATGGTACTCCTTGCAGCCCCAGCCTACTATACATGGAACAGGGACATGGCACAGCACTGAGGGTTTTAGTGTTGGCAGATCATACTGTTCCCTTGGAATGTCTTTGCCAGACCAGTAAGGGTGAAAACCCAAAGCAGGACCTTTTCTCCTTTCATCACGAAAGGTGTAAACTGCAGAAAGAAACCCCGAGAGACACACTACTTTTATCTGTAGGGATGTGTGTAAGGATACTTCATCTGTAACATAGAAACTATGCATCAGGGGAAGCTAGCACCACATTCCATGCTGAGAAGAAAGTGAATTCACAAAAAAAAAAAAACACAAAAAAAAACAAACAAACAAAAAACAATGCACTAAGAAGCATCAATGCTGTGAAGGCACAATTTATGCTAATCTGTGTTCTGAGAAGGGCTCTGTTCTATTTGTTTCAGGAGTCTCAAGTTAAGAGCTTCTGGAAAATAAATCTAAACACAGAAATAACAAGCTAGTACCCACCAGGAGATGATGCATTTTCTTGTGATCGTGCTGTTATTGTTGTGACACGGCTGGTGAAACGCTCTTTGTTTTCTCTTAACGTTTTGTACACCTAGAGACAGACAAGAAAACACCTTGTACGTGTTACAGCATCAAGGCATCATTCGGCTTCCCGCACCTGTAAACTTCTGTTTTGGATTATTAAATGTAGAAAAGTTTATTGTAAGGCAACTTTTCCCTTAAGAACTACATTATTTGAGAATAATAAATCTGTAAAATTATTTGTCAATGTCCCTTGAAATTATTTGAGGCCAGGGAGCACAAGGATGGCTTAACTGAAGTAAATAACTAACTTGGTATGGCATTAAAGTACCCTCCCTCCACCCGCTCACCCAATAAAAACACATTTATTTAAGCATCTTACATAAGCTCCTGCCCCTGTGACTGTTCCTCCTACAATTAAGTAGAACAGTAGGTTGCTGCCAGCTTTGCCAGGAACACCTGAAGACATTAGTGATCTAGAAGGGTATCTTAGATGATGACACTGCAAAACTGTAGGTGAAGACAGGCAATGAGAGAAAAGAGAGGGAAAGTGCTGAGTATTAAGAAGAACTCTTGATTAAACAGATCTTGGGAGAAAGAGAGTATGTTTTCAGTTACTTTGTCTGTCAAAAATGAAACAAAAAATTAAAAAAAAGAAACATTGGTGCTACAGGTAGAAGTACGTATACTTACAGTTTTGGACTCAGAAGATAAAGACCTCTTAATTATTTAAGTCATCTTTCATGTTCAAAACAAAAGGTCTGGCTCAGATGAAGCATGATTTTCCAGTGTGGACTAGGGGAGGGAGCTGGGAACACACATCTCTGAAGACTATCTAATTCCTTATTACAAGTAACAAAGATTTTGCTTTTTTAGCTTTTAGCAGATGATGAGTGGAGTTTAAATTAAATGTGTATATATATATATATATATATACAGGTCACAGCTGCCCATGGTTTCTGGCCCTTCTCCAGAATTTTTACCCCAACCTTCTTTCCAGCTAGACAATAACCACAGATGTTCACACCACTAAAATGCTGTTCTATTTCACAAAGAAGCTTTTCACACTCAGAGGTGAATCTCTTCCTGAATGACAGAGCAAAGCTTCTTCTCCTTTCAAGTCCATCAAGAAATTTAATTGGCATCTTAATCAGTTTTTCCTATAGCTGCTGTCTTCAGCTCAGGCAAGACTGCTGATGCTACTCAGTATGAGTTGGCAGATGGAAGAAGTACAAAAGGACAATAAGGGCACATGAAGGAATATTTAATAGGAAAACATACTTTTCCTCCATGCACTGTTTTGAAATTCTATTTATTTCTCAGAAGTCTTCTGCATGGGGAAATTTCATTAGGAGAAAAATCACAACTCATAACTTTTAAATAAATATGATCTTCAAAGAGGAAAAAATCTTAACAAAGATTTGTATAATGTAATCTTAGGGCCTGTCCCCTTCTAGGTAATGTTTCACTCTTCAGAGCTGTCGGGGAACTCTCTAGGTTAGGCTGGAAAGGTTTACTCTTTTGAATCTTTGAGTCAGACATAAACGTGTGCTTCTCAACACTGTGTTGATTTGGTATACTTACACAAGCTAAACACTAATGTTCTGAATTGAAATCTGTCAAATAAAGGTTTGTTTTGGTATTAGCAGCATATACCATCAAATTCTCACCGAACCATATGCTACTGTCACATACAAGACAACAGATAGAGCTGTAGTTAGTAAAAATGTGTGCCTTTATAATTAATAAAAACAAAAACCACCACCACCACCACCAAAAAAGTAAGTTAATTTCCAGATAGTTCAGTTAGCTCCCTTCTATCAAGTTGACCAAAGGAAGAAATAGCTAGAAAGATAAAAAGCTAAGGAAAGTTAGCTGAAATACAACAAGCACTTGATAGGAGAGCATAGCTTTTTTCTATGAACTACCTTTCTACTTACATATACACCCGCTCCTAACGTTGACAAGCCCATAATAAGGGCAAAAACAGAACTACTGCCTTTGCCCCCAGGCACATCAGAGCTAGCCACTTGTCTGCTCATCTGTAGTCCTACGGGCACATTCCAGCGCTGCAACAAGTTGCCTAAGAATACAATTTATTAGACAAAAACATAAAAGGATTGTCAATACAGAGTTGTGTTTTAAAATTAGAGCCCAAGTATTTCTGAAAATTAGTAAATAAGCTATTTGTTTGAAAAGCACAGTATCATGTCACCGCAGTGATTTATTCTATGCCAGAACTAACAGCTACAAGACTGCTCCAGGCACCTGTGGATACCACAAATACAAGCAAGATCAAAAACTACTACAAACCAATTAATAGCAAACCATCTGCAGTGAAGATCCACGGACTACCTCCTGCTGAAGGAGCCTTCCAGACACATATCACTGGGAGAGTACATCAGAGATATGTGCGTACTGCGCATTTGCTTTTCTTACTCCCTGCTCTTCTGTCAGGAGCAAGTGCTGGTCTAAAGAATCATTTTCGCATATTCAGCCAGAACTTGCTGCAGTTTGGAACTGGGCTCCACTGAAAAGAGTCTGGCCCATCCTCTTGACACCCTCCCTTTGGGTATTTGCACACGCTTACAAGATCCCCTCTGTCTTTTCCAAGCTAAACAGGCCCAGCTCTCTCAGCCTCTCCTCACATGAGAGATGCTCCAGTCCCCTCATCATCTTCATAGCCCTCCACTGGACTCGCTCCAGGAGCTCCCTGTCCTCTGGTACTGGGGAGCCCAGAACCAGACACAGGACTCCAGGTGAGGCCTCACCAGGGCTGGATGGATGGGCAGGATCCCCTCCCTCAGCCTGCTCGCAGCACTCTTCTGAATGCACCCAGGAGACCGATGGCCACGAGGGCATAGTGCTGGCTCACGGTTAACGTGCTGTCCACCAGGACTGCCAGGTCCTTCCCTGCAGGGCTGCTTTCCAGCAGGTCAGCTCCCAAGCTGTACAGGTGCAGGGGGTTATTCTGGTGCAGGACTCAGCACCTGCCTTTGTTGAACTCCACGAAGTTCCTCGCTGCCCAAGGCTTCAGCCTGCCCAGGTCTCTCTGGCTGGCAGCACAGCCCACACCGTATCGGACACTCCTCCCAGTTTTGTGTCATCTGCAAACCAGCTGAGGCGCGCTCAGTTCCACCGTCCAGGTCATTGATGGATGAACTGAACAGGACTGGGCCCAGTACGGCCCCGCTGGGGGCCTCCAGCCAGACTGAGCGCTGCTGATCACAGCCCTCCGAGCTCTGCCCTGCAGCCACTTCTCCAACACCGAGACACTAACATAGCCACGTTAGGACAAGCAGTAGGTAGTTATACCAACAAAAAGTCCATTTGCCACCAGTTTTCTGAGGAACAGTACACCGGGAGGAGGCTTTTGCTGATAGCAAAGGCATCCCAAACGAAGGGCAGCAGCAAGGGCTGCCAATTCAAATGCAGCCCAGTAAACCTTACAAGCAAGGCAACAAGCACATCTACTTGAACAGCCACATACCGTTTTATTTTAGGCTGAAGTATGAGATTAAACTTCAGTATTTCAATTAGACCCTTACCAGTGTCACAGCGACGGCTGAGCAGTGCTTTAACACCGCCAGCTGTGCCCGGGCTTCTCTGCAGAACATTCCCCCGCACACAGAAAGCAACTTCTGCCTGCTTCAGTGCTCGTAACACACACACCGCTACACCCGCTTCATTTCCTCTCATATATCAGCGAGACAGAGCTGATTTGGAAGCTGTGAGCATCCAAATGGACGCGAGTAAACCAACCCCAGCTACACACGGCTTCCTGGAACAGTCCTTGGGAACTAATGCACCTCAGCAGCTCCCTTGGGGCACGCCAGCCCCGCAGGCGCCGCTCGCAGCTCCAACACCACATTTATTTTATTTCATTTTTTTTCTGACAGGGCTCGCAGCGCCCACCTCGCTCCGCTTCCCCTACCGCAACCCTTTATCTCCCAACGCCTCCCTGCGCGGCTCCCCCTCCCACCCCCACCTTCCCGGAGCAGCCCCCTCACGCCTCAGCTCCCCCCCGCTCACCTGCGGCGGGGCCGAGGGGCCGCAGCGGCCGCCGCGCCCGAGGGCTGCCAGGCGGCAGCACAACATGGCGCCCGCCGCCTCACCGCCAGCCGGCCCCGAGCAGCCGCCCCGACCCCCGCCGCCCCCACGGCGCATGCGCGGCCGCCGCCCCCCCTTCCCGCGCGCCCGCTCCGCGCCGCCGCCGCCATGTTGCGGCCGCTCCGCTGCTGCCTCAGCGGCCCGCAGCCGCCGCTCCGCCGCCACTGCTCCTCCTCTTCCTCCTCCGCCTCCCTCGGGCCCGGCCGCCGCCTGCTGCTGTCGACGCCCATTTCTACGCCAACGGGCCTCCGCACCTCGGGCACCTCTATTCCGCGCTGCTGGCCGACGCGCTGCACCGCCAGCGAGGGCTTGGCGGCGCCGGGCCCGGCCGCTTCTCCACAGGTGAGCCCCGGCCCTAACCTCCCGCTGCTGGGCGCTGCCGGCTCCTCACGGGGCTCCTCTCACGGTGCTCTCCACCCGGCCCCCCCTTACCCCGTGTGTGTCCCCTGTGGCGTTTCAGGTACCGACGAGCACGGGCTGAAGATCCAGCAGGCCGCGGCTGCGGCAGGGACGTCGCCCCCGGAGCTCTGCGCCCGCGTTTCGGCTCTGTTCCGCCAGGCCTTGACCCAGGCAGCGGTCTCCTTCACGGATTTCATCCGCACCAGCGAGCCCCACCACCAGCGAGCCGTGTGTCACTTCTGGGGTGCCCTGCAGGAGCGTGGGGCGCTCTACAAAGGGTCTTACGAGGGCTGGTACTGCACTCCAGATGAGTGCTTCCTGCCCGAGAGCCAGCTCGCCGAGCGTACGGACAGCCAGGGGCGCACGTACAAGGTGTCTTGGAGACTGGCCATGAGGTAACCATAGCACATCTGCATAAGCACTGTGTAACTGGCTGGTACTTAGTTCTAGGAAAATCTGAGGACGTTTAGTGCTTCCTGTGGGCTTTGTTCATGTCAGTTGAATTTGCCTATGCCTCAAAGAATGTCTCTCTGCTGCGTCTTATAGCTGTGTATGGCTGCATAAGGGAGAGATGCCAATGGGATTCTAAACCCCAAGTGAATTTTAAATTTCAGCCATGTGGCAGGCATGTGGATTCACCCGCTACTGAGTTTCACAGGCCATTGGCTTGGAAACAATGTTTTAAAGCGGTGATGAAAGATGTTAGATGTGAGGAAGGATAAAGCTGTTTATAACTGAGCTGTTTGTTGGCTGCCCAGATTTTCAGATGACCTAGTTAGTGAGGCAGTTTCATTTGGCCTCTAGATATTTTTAATTAGTCATGTGTCATTACACAGGGTTTGGACCTAAATAAAACACAATAAGAGTACCTGCCTGTGGTCTAGTCTCACAATGGAATGGTGCAGCCAGGAGTATGGGACCTGACTTAGAGTCTCTCTGCCACTACGATTTCTATAAGATATCAGGAACATGATTTAATACAATTGTGGCAGATAATCATGCTTCAGAGCTAAGTGGAGGTTATGCTTCTCTGATATTTGTACTAGATTGGGGCATGTGAGCATTGGTTCACACAGAAAGGGGTATGTTATGAAATAATCTCTTGTTAAAGCACCTAACGTAGTTGGGGCCAGGAGGGAGAATGAATTTTCAGGCAAGTAAATCATTTCTTAGAACTAAAATACAGGCAGCAGGCTTCCACACCCTGAGAACAAGCTCCCTGTACCTATGAAGGGATCATCAAGGGATGGAGCCAGGTTCTTCCAGTGGTACATGACAGGGGGTGGGAGAGAATGGTCATAGGCTGAAACCAGAGGTTCATTTTAAGGAGAAGCTTTTTCCCCATGAGGACAGTAGAACAGGCTGCCCGGGAAGGTTCTGTGACCTTCATCTGTGGAGGTTTTCAGGATGCACAGGTGACTGCTGGAAGCAGGAGGCTGAACTACCCCGTGCTCTTCAGACCAGGGCTGGATGGAAGACAACAGGGAATATCAGCTCTGTGCACAGTGCAGCAGTGCTGAGAGCTGATACCCCAGAGTTGAAGAAGCTTATGGAAAATTATAAAGAATTCAGAATTAAAAAAAAAAATCACTTGTGTAACTTGTTTATAATTTATGCAGGGAATAATATGTCTTTTGGGGTAACCTTTTAATCAAGTAAACAAAGGTAGTAGCAGCTACAGACTGAAATTAGATAAACTGAAGTGCAACATAACACTAAGTGTAATTACTCCTTAGTCTCTCAACTTGAGGGTGTGTGGTTGTATTGAGAGTGACTTTCTGGCTCAGCCAAAAATCGTTGGATTCAGTGCTAGAAAAATCAAACTCTCCTGCATGATGCTGTCTTATTTTAGAGCCTTAGTCAGCTTTAAAAACTAAGAATCCTGACCTTCCCACAGATCTCTTGAGTATCTTTACACAATTCACTTGTATCTTAGGTACCGACAAAGTTGTCATTGTTTCAGCTATGTTACATAATTTAAATCTGTGAGAGAGAGCTGTCAGTACTTAAACATAATTATAGGCTAAAGTTGGCAACTAAAATGCATTAAATCTTAAATGGAAAAAAGAGTAGAAACACCTAAGAGAAAAGAAAGGGCACTCACAAGGAATATTATTTTGTCTTTTATGATTTTCTACCATAATTGCAAAACTACATTTCTAAGAAAGTATATTCTTGTCTCCATTATTCTTGCCTGATGACACACAAACACAGCTTGTAGAAAGGTATTCCTTCCCTGGGGGCATGAGGATCCTTCAAAGCAGAGTCCCGGATGCCTCAGTTCTTGGGTGTTGCTATGGGGAACCTCGGGAGGTGGTGTCTTTGGAGAGGAGGTCCCTCTAGGCATAGAACTATACCAGGGCTTTACGTGGTGGGGAGCACACCCAAACACAAAGGGAGCATGTGACAAAATCCACGCTGAGAGTGCTGTGTGCAAATTGTAAAACCATTTGCAGCGTATTTGGACTGTAATTCTTTTCTCTCCTGTTTTTTCAGGTGCACTGGACCAAAGAGGAGAATTACATGTTCTCTCTGCATTCCGGACCCATTGCAGAAGTGGCTCCGTGACAATCCCCGTGCCATTTTTCCCGACCCTTTCTACCAGCGTGTGCTTCACTGGCTGGGAGACGACTTGCCAGACTTGTCTGTCTCTCGTGAGAGAAGCCGGTTGCAGTGGGGTATCCCTGTCCCCGGTGACTCCACACAAACCATTTATGTGTGGGTAGATGCCTTGGTGAACTACCTGAGTGTCGTGGGCTACCCTGAGACGCATGGCGAGTGGTGGCCCGCTGCACCACATCGTGGGCAAGGACATCCTCAAGTTCCACGCTGTCTACTGGCCAGCTGCTGATGGCAGCGGGGCTGCCACCCCCCGAGCAAATTCTTGTGCACTCCCATTGGACTGTCCATGGGCAGAAGATGTCCAAAAGCCTGGGCAACGTGATCGACCCTTCTGCTTGCATTGGACAGTACACGGTAGATGGATTTCGGTACTTCCTGCTAAGGCAGGGTGTACCCGAGCGGGATTGACTATTATGATGAGAAGGTTGTTAAGGTACTGAATTCAGAACTGGCAGATGCGCTTGGGGGACTTCTGAATCGGTCAACAGCCCTTAGCATTAACCCCAGCAACACTTACCCTTATTTCTCAGAGTCTTGTTTCCCAAAGATCTTGGATTACAGGGAGACAAAAGCCTTGGGTAGGGCTTCTGCTGAAGACTATGAGTTTGTGGTGTCTGTGGCTTCTCTGCCGCTGCAGGTGGCTAGCTATTTTGAAGATTTCCAGATCTACAAGGCTTTAGAATGCATTGCCCTGTGTGTAAGGCAGACAAATGGTTTCTTCCAGAGACACAGGCCTTGGAAACTCAACAGAAATCACCCTGCAGAGAAGCTGTGGCTTGACACCATCATCCACGTTACACTGGAATGCCTGCGGGTCTTTGGGACTCTCCTGCAGCCAGTGATCCCATGCACTGCAGACAAGTTGCTTTCCAGGCTGGCTGTTGAGCCAGAAGAGAGAGGTCTCTCAAATTTGACGTTTCTTCCACGTTACAATGGGAAGCCGTGTCCCTTTGAGGGGAGACAGCTTGGACCTGACACTCTTATTTCACAGACTCGAGAAGTCAAGTCAAGCGTCAGATAGAGAACAAGAGGCTATAGTCCCTCACAAATAGCTTTTGTAAATAACAGCCTCCAGGAATGCCCAGAAAATGTGATCTTTATTGGAGCGTGTCCCTCCCATCTCTTGGTGGTAATGCAAATTAGATAAAACAAAACTGAGCAGGGCTGCGCTGCCCCCTCTCGTCCTTTGTAGGTGATTGCCAGAGGCATCTGCCTGAACTGGTGTGGTGTACGCAGCTGGGCAGCTGAGCTCCACCCATAACCGTGCTCTCACTCTCCCTTCTCAAAGGGAAAGGGGGAGGAAATATGAAAAGGCTTAAGGGTGAGATAAGGAGATGGAGATCACTCAACAATTATCGTCAAGGCAAAACACTCAGCAGAGGGATAAATTAAAAAACGCCTTCCTCCCATCCACCCTCTTCTACCTCCCCCAATGGCCACAGGGGAAGGGAGCTGTGGTCAGTCCCGAACACTTTGTCTATGCCACTCTTTCAGTCGCTCACTTTGTAGAATCACAGAATGGCCCTAATTGGAAGGGACCTGAAAGATCATCTAATTCCAACCTCCCTGCCACAGGCAGGGGTGCCACTCACTAGGTCAGGTACACCAATGCCCCGTTCAGCCTGACCTTGAACACTTCCAGGGATGGGGTATCCACAGCTTCTCTTGGCAACCTGTTCCAGTGCCTCACTAACCTTACAGTGAAGAATTTCCTCTTAATGTCTAATCTGAATCTATCCCCTTCTAGTTTAAGACCATTCTCCCTTGTCCTATAATTACCTGCCTCAGTAAAGAGTCCTTACCCATCCTTTTTATAGGACCCTGCTGAGTATTGAAAGGCCTCAGTGAGGTCTTGGAGCATTCTCCAGGCTGAACACCCCAGCTCTCAGCCTTTATTCGTAGAAGAGGTGCTCCAACCCTCTAATTATCTTTGTAGCCCTCTGGACTCACTCTAACAGGTTCACATTTTCTTGTGCTGGGACCCCAAGCCTGGATGCAGTACAGGTGGGGCTTCACAGGGGCCTCCTCTAGGCCACATCCACCTGCTCCACCGGGGGCTCCTCCACGGGCTGCAGCGTGGAGATCTCCATGTGGGACCCATGGGCTGCAGGGGACAGCCTGCTCCACCAGGGCCCTCCACAGGCTGTAGAGGGCAACTTCTGCTCCAGTGCCTGGAGCGCCTCCTGCTGCATTCACCTTGGTATTTTGCAGGCTGTTTCTCACTCCTCTCTCCCAGCTGCTGTGGTGCAGCAGGTTTTTTTTGTTTTTTTTTCCCTTTCTTAAATCTGCTGTCACAGAGGCACACACGATGTCACATATTTGCTGGCTCTGGGCAGCGGTGGGTCCATTTGGAGATGACTGGAGCTGGCTCTTAGCTGACATGGGGCAGTTTCTGGAGTCTTCTCCCAAAGGTACTCCTGCAGCCCCCCCACTACCAAAGCCTTGCGACGTAAATCTGATACAATGGGGAAGCAGACACACTCAAACTAGCTGTATCAGCTGGGCTGACAGCTAGGAAGGTTTCTGGGGTAACACCTTGGGGTACACCTAAGCAGTGCAGTTGGTAGCAGCGAATAAACTGAAGGCACTGCCTAGGGTTTGAATATTGCTGCTTTGTTTCCTGGTGTACTTTAAGGGACATAAAAATGGGTTGAGCAAAATACCCCTTAAAAATGGGCGCGCTCTGTGCACTGCCTTGAGGCTCCATTAGAGAGCCTTCTTTCCTACAGTATCTTTACAAGGCAAATAACCTGGGACGCAGATGGCAGGAATGCCAGACCTCCTGCAGGTAGAGATGGCAAATGACAGCTAGAAACAACCCTTTACCTTCAGACCCTAAGGCTATTGGCAGATATGACCACCTAGTCCAGAAAGGGGTTATTTGGTCATGATCTCCCATTCAGACTGATGCTGTTACAGAGCTGTGATGTGCGTTTCCAGCAGCCACATGCTGCTGAGAGCAGGCCAGTGTTCAGACTGATCTGTAGGAGGATTAGTGTCCCTGAGAAAGGGCTCTTTCCGTGGGCACTCTCGGCAATGACTGTCTCTGCTCACACGGGGAGCTGATGTCTTGGTGTCCCCTTGACTTTGCCCTGGAGGTTTTTGGCTAGGCCAGGGCTGAAATGTCTGGAGGTAATCAGAAATGGTTTCCTGACGACACCTCTGGGGTGTACTCCAACTGTTGAGTCCATCAGCTGAATTTCCTTTATGGGCCAAAACCTTCGATCAGCTGATGTCTGACTGAAATCTGTCCCAGCTTTTGGCTCCTTCACTTCTCACCAAGTACCTCTGCTGCAGCAGACTCATGTCCTGGGCCAATTTTACCAGGCTCTGACCTCTTCTGGAGGTGTCTGGGCTGCGTTATGAGGCAGCAGGCGTACCCTCCCTCTCCCCTCAGAGCACCGTGGGTCCCTGCAGACATCAGGCCAGCGCTGGCTGCTTCCCCCTCGCATTGCTCTTGTGTTTTTTTTTTTGCACAGAGCACAGGCAGAAAAACCGTGGAGGACAGGGAAAAGCGAGACCCCGTCCCATCCTCATCGCCTCACGGGCTCGCCTCACGGGCTCGCCTCACGGGCTCGCCTCACGGGCTCGCCTCACGGGCTCGCCTCACGGGCTCGCCTCACGGGCTCGCCTCACGGGCTCGCCTCACGGGCTCGCCTCACGGGCTCGCCTCACGGGCTCGCCTCACGGGCTCGCCTCACGGGCTCGCCTCACGGGCTCGCCTCACGGGCTCGCCTCACGGGCTCCGCTCGGCGCCTTGACGCGGGGCGGAGCCGCTCAGCGCTGGCGCGGTGCCGCCGCTCGGTGCCGCCGCCCCCCGGCCGCACCGACCACCTGATCCCGCTCCGCCCGCCGCAGCCGCAGCCTTTGTGTGAGGAGCGGGGCGGCGCGGGGCGGCCCCATGAGGCGGTGAGGGATGGCGGCGGTGGCGGCGGCGGGCGGCCGCCGGGCCCCGACTCGTCGCTGGAGCCGTACGTGCAGACCCGCATCTTCAAGATCATCGTGATCGGCGACTCCAACGTGGGCAAGACGTGCCTGACCTTCCGCTTCTGCGGGGGCACCTTCCCCGACAAGACCGAGGCCACCATCGGCGTGGACTTCCGCGAGAAGACGGTGGAGATCGAGGGCGAGCGCATCAAGGTGGGCCGCGGCGGCACCCGCACCCGCACCGCACCCGCAGCGCACCCGCAGCCGGGGCTGGCGGCGGCCCCGCTCCCTGTCACGGGGCCGAGTCTGTGCCTGCCGGACACCCCTCGGGGCTCTCCCGTTCCCATTCCGTCCTGAGGGAGGGCAACGGGAAGGTTTTCCCTCCCGCGCTGTGGAGATGTCCTCCCAACACGCGCGCTGCTGTTAATAAATAGCCACGTTGCTTTTTTTTTTTTTTGCTATTTATATGCTGTTTGCTTGAGTCTGCAGGGGGCTGAGACAATAGCTCGGAGCGAGACGCTGCAAGCATCTGGTGTAACGGGGTCCTCACAGCGCCAGGCCGGCCCCGGCTTCAGAGGCTCGACCACAGCAGCAAAGGGGTGAAGCTGTAGGGAGCTGGAGGAAGGAGCTGTGTGCAGAAACCGGAGCACAGCTCGCACAGAAACCACGAGAGCATATGGCTGTAGGCTGGCTAGAGGCTTGCTGGAAAGCCAGGAGCTTGCACTAGCTGGTGCAGCGGCCTGACAGCTCCGATGTTAATGCACAGGAATGTTAGCAGGCAATTGGAGATGCAGTTTCAAGGGAACTAAAATAGAACTAATTTGCTGTATGTACACCAGCAACAGTAAAGAAATGCATTAGCTCAGAGCTGAGGAGATCTGCAGATCAACAAGCAGTGGGTAGGAAACAGCTTGGGAAGCACAGTTTGCAGCAGATCTTGGCCTACCTGGTTAGGTGGATCAGCACAAGCAGCAGTCTGTGTGAAAGACTGACTCCTGGAAGAAGCCCATACTGCTATATTTTGCAGACAGATGGAGAATCAAAAGTTGAGGGGCTGATCACAGTGAATGTAGAGCTAATGTTGGATGACAACTTTAGTTGTGCTTTTTAAACTGACCATGATTTTTTCCTCTCTTTAAGACGAAAGGTGTTCATTTCCCCCTCGTGCCTTGCCCAGCTCCATCCAGTGCCCCCTTTCTGTGTTACAAGCTATAGTGCAGGCTGGCATGAAGCTGTCCTATGGCCACTAGCTTGAAAATATTGCCTTGCTTTCTACCTTTGGATATTACTTCTGCTCCAGCAAGCAGGACTGGGAGGCAGGGCAGCAAATTGCCCTTCCCCTAGGACCGTACATCCAAATGGGGAGGGGGATGAGTTCCTTTAAGTCGCACTTGTTCCCAGCAAGCACCTTGGGACAAGAGGCATGGGGCTCCTGCTGCTGCTCTGCTCAGAACTAAACAGCCTGGGATAAAGTGGCATGGAGATGAATGAGAGGTATCTCTTTGTTGCCAACATTTTTACTCTCTGAAAGATTGTGGGGCAGGCACTGTCACAATTAAGGGTGGTTCAGGTAAATCACAGTAATTTAGAAATTGCCAGCTTGCAGCTTACAGAAGTTCTTACAGAAGAGCAGGGTGCAGGTTGGAAGGGACCTCTGGAAGCCATCTGGTCCAATCCCCCTGCTCAAGGAAGACCACCCAGAGCAGCTGCCCAGCACCATGTCCAGGTGGCTGTTTAAGATCTCTAAGGAGGGAGACTCTGTAACCTCTCTGGGCAACCTGCTCCAGTGCTCTGTCACCCACACAGTAAAGAAATGCTTCCTGAGGTTTAGAAGGAACTTCTGCTGTTGCTGGGCAATGCTGAAAGAGCCAGGCTGCTTCTTTGCACACTCTGTCCAGGTATTTATACATATTGATAAGATTGATTTATCACATTTTTATATATACATATTTATAACACTGGTGAGATGTGCCCTGGGCCTTCTCTTCTCCATGCTGAACAGCCCCAGCTCTCTTAGTTTCTGATACAAGAGCTGTTCCAACCTCTTTATCATTTTGAAGGCCCTTTTCATTTCCATGTCTCTCTTGCACTGGGGAACTCAGAACTGGACACAGTACTCCAGATGCCACCCCAACAGTGCTGAATAGAGGGAAGGATCACTTTCCTCAACCTGCTGGTGATACTTTGCCTGCACAGCCCAGGACACCATTATCCTTCTTTGTGGCAAGGGCACGCCGTTGGCTCATGTTCAAGCTGGTGTCCACCTGTACACCCAGGTCCTTTTCTTCTAGGCTGCTCCCCAGCTGGGCAGCCCCCAGCATGTCCTGGGTTGTTCCTCCCAAGACCAGGACTCTGCACCTCTCCTTGCTGACCTTCAGAGGGTTCCTGTCAGCCCGTTTCTCTAGCCTGTCCATATCCCTCTGGAGGGCAGCACGGCCCTCTGGTGAATCAGCCCATGCCCCACTTTCATGTTGTTTGCAAATTTACTGAGGGTGCAGTCTGCCTCCTCACCCAGACCATTAACAAAAATGTTGAACGGGAATGGACACAGTTTTGACCGCTGGGGTACTACGTTCATTACTGGCCTCCACCAAGACTTTGTACCACCGACTGCTACCCTCCAGGCCTGGATGATCAGCCAGTGTTTGATCCACCCCACTGCTCATCCAGACAGACTTCATCAGCTTCTCTGTGAGTATCTTATGGCAGACAAGTGTTGAAAGCCTTTGTTGAAAGTGCACGTAGACAATATCCACTGCTCTTACCTTGTCTAGCAATTCCTCTAGGCCTGTTTGCCTGGGATGAACAGCTTTTTTTGAATATTAGCCAGCTTTCTTGGGCCCATCTTCTGTCTTTCCTTTTCAAAATTCATCATTGTGGTCTCAAATTTTGCCCTATTCCTTCCTCTTGGGATCCTGAGCTCCACCATCTCATGGTCAGTGAGATGGCTTTGACCATGACAGCCCTTCCTTGTTGGTACGAGGCCCAGCAGAGCACCTCCTCGTCTCCTCTGCCACTTGGGTCAGGAATTTGCCACCAACGCTCTCCAGGAACCTCAACAGCTCTTTAATCCTAACCCTTAAATTCTCATTTGACTATCCATTCCCAGGCAGAGCACCACATGGGAACGTTGCCCTTTTCTTTGCCCTGCCTCTTCTCTACTGTTGCAATTCTGTCGGGTTCTTTTTTATGGCATAGGGTTAGGTGGGCTAATGTCCTGATCTGGTGCAAAAATGTTTCTGAAATGGGAAGCATTTTGTGGCATTTGTTTTGGTGGTGGGGATGATGGTGAAGTGCATTAGGAAGAGGAGGGCTGTCTGGCAAGGCGTTTCAGTCAGGTAAGTCATCACACAGGGATTTTTCTCACTTAGAGCACACACAATTAAAGGGCGTTGTCAATTCTTTTGAATATAATGGACCATTTGCAATGACTGAGAAATGGGATATGCCGTGTAGAGCCTAGCCCTTGTCTGAGAGTACTGAAAGTGAAGGAAAGTGCTGATGTGATCGCTCTTACTCGATGAGCTAGGAAGCATTTTGTGGCATTTGTTTTGGTGGTGGGGATGATGGTGAAGTGCATTAGGAAGAGGAGGGCTGTCTGGCAAGGCGTTTCAGTCAGGTAAGTCATCACACAGGGATTTTTCTCACTTAGAGCACACACAATTAAAGGGCGTTGTCAATTCTTTTGAATATAATGGACCATTTGCAATGACTGAGAAATGGGATATGCCGTGTAGAGCCTAGCCCTTGTCTGAGAGTACTGAAAGTGAAGGAAAGTGCTGATGTGATCGCTCTTACTCGATGAGCTAGGCTTACTGTTTGAATTACACAAGCATACGCACTGTCACACACAGCCTTGGACACTGCCAGCATATGCCCCCAAACCTGTAACTCATCCAACAACCCTGCTTCATCTAGATAAGAACTTGCCCCTCCCAGTGTGCTGGCCTTGCCCATGTCCTGGAGATGGCTCAGTGCTGTTGCTCCATGATGCACTGTCAGAGGTGGAACAGCAGGAAGCCCTCCTGCTTTCCGCAGCAAGTTAAACACACCGACGTCCTCGTGAAGCAGCAAGCCCTGCCTCGGGGTGGGCACTCGGTGCTCTGGTAGCCTCCTTTCCGTGCGTGCCTCAAGAACACTGTGCTTTGCTTCCTAGGTGCAAGTGTGGGACACGGCTGGCCAGGAGAGGTTTCGGAAGAGCATGGTAGAGCACTACTATCGCAACGTGCATGCCGTCGTCTTCGTTTACGACGTCACGAAGATGACTTCCTTCACCAACCTCAAGATGTGGATCGAGGAGTGCAACGGGCACGCGGTGCCCCCCCTGGTCCCCAAGGTGCTGGTGGGGAACAAGTGTGACTTGAAGGACCTGATCCAGGTGCCGTCCAGCATGGCCCTGAAGTTCGCTGACGCTCACAACATGCTGTTGTTCGAGACCTCAGCCAAGGACCCTAAGGAGAGCCAGAACGTGGAGTCCATCTTCATGTGCCTGGCCTGCCGGCTCAAGGCGCAGAAATCGCTGCTCTACCGCGATGTGGAGAGGCGGCCGGGCCGGGGGCACCGCCTGGAGCTGACGCGCGACGCCAACGGTAAAAACGCCTGCCCGTGCTGAGCCGGGCGGCCCCGCCGCTGCTAACAATAAAGTCTGTGAGGCTGCACTGCGCCCCGCCTCTTGCTTTGCGCGGCCCGGTACAGCCCGTACGGCCCATACGGCCCGGTACAGCTCAGCCCGGCCCCGTACGGCCCGGTACGGCCCGCGGGAGCGCGCATGCGCGGGAGTGGGCGGGCTCCCGGCCCCGCCGCCGCCATGAAGTAGGTTGTGGGGATGATGGCGGGGGGGGGGGAGCGGAAGGAGGGGGATACGGGGGTAAGGCCGGGTGGTCCCGGGGACTCCCGGTGCTCACGGTGTCCTCGCCCCCAGCCCGCTGACGAAGGTGAAGCTGATCAACGAGCTGAACGCGCGGAGGCGGAGCTGGGCGTGCAGGAGGCGGTGTCGTGGCACGCCGAGTACAAGGACAGCGCCTGGGTCTTCGTCGGTACGGGCGGTGGGGGGGGGAAAGGGGGAGGGGGGGCGGCTGTGGCCTCTCTCAGATCCCAGTCCCGGTCCCCATCCCGGTCCCTGATCCTGCTCCCGGTCCCGGTGCCCGTCCCGGTGCCGCAGCGCCGCTGCTCTCCCCGCAGGTGGGCTGCCCTACGAGCTGACGGAGGGGGATGTGATCTGCGTGTTCTCACAGTAAGTGCCTCGGCCCCAGCCCCACAGCGATGGGGCCCTGCCCGTGCAGCTGCTCGGGGTGCTCACGGTGTGTTTCAGGTACGGGGAGGTGGTGAACATCAATCTGGTGCGGGACAAGAAGACCGGGAAGTCCAAAGGCTTCTGCTTCCTGTGCTATGAAGACCAGAGGAGCACCATTCTCGCTGTCGACAACTTCAATGGAATCAAGGTGAGTGAAGCCGCCTGCAATGCGGCTGCTTTTACTCCTGACGCGTGGTTTGAGCTGGCCCTGTGGTTCTCTGGTGTCCCACAGGGCGCAGGGAGCGTGTCCACAGCTTTGCTAACTACGTGACTCCTGTTGCAGATCAAAGGAAGGACAATCCGAGTGGACCACGTGGCCAACTATCGGCCTCCCAAGGACTCCGATGATTTAGATGAGGTCACAAAAACTCTCCACGCAAAAGGCTGTGGAGTTAAAACGCCGCCTCATTCGTCGTCTGATTCTTTGTCAGAAGATGATGATGTGCCGGCAAAAAAGCAAAAAGGTGAAACGTGTTCCTGCCAGTCTTTACTGTGGATGGGTGGGACTGCATGGGTCTCCAGGGCCCTTAGCTCATGGAAGCAGCATCAGTGGGAACATCAGGGATAAGTGTCTGAAATGGCTTCTGGCCTGAAGTGGCGTCTGGCTTCCAGGATGAGCTGATTTGGCATGGTGATGTTGGCGTGGGGTGGGGGTGTCAGTTATTCTGAAATCAGCCTGGTGCTTGCAGCATGCAGAGGAAGCTTCTGTCACACACCTGGGCTGTCTCTGTGACAGGCAGTTAGGTTGTCTGGGTTTGAGACCTGTCTTTACTGCATCCTATTCCCCTATCAGTACAGTAGTTCAGTACTGTGCTGCACAGATTGAGGACACGGGATGGGGCCTTAGCATGGGGGAGAGGGTGGTATAAGCCAGGTAGAGTCCTAGTTTGAGAAAGTGGGTTGGAGGGAAAGAAAATAAGCACGAAACCAAGGCTGAAGACAAGATGTTGCACAGAGCTGAAGAGATGTGCGAAAATGAGAGAGGCAAAGGGGAGTGAAGAGGGAAGAGAATCATTGTCAACTCTGGAAATTCTCCAGATCCAGTGACATTCTTGTTGTGTGTGCATTGCTTAGAAAACAGAATTTACAGTAGATGCTAAGCGTTGCAAAAAGTGCTCAAATTCATGAGAGCAACCTAGCTGGGATAACACAAGGTGACAAATGTTAAAGAAGGACTTAGGGTGACTCACATTGGAGAAGAAAAGTGTCAGTTTGGCAGTAGAATAGGATATCTGGGGGGGTAAAGAGGCTGTGAAGTATGAGCTTGGGCCAAGGGTGGGGGAACTCAAAATGGGAGTGGAGTTGGAAAGGTGCTGCGGTGCTAGGTGCAGAGCTTGAGGAGCTGAGCTAATGCTTGCAAGACTGTCCACCCCTAAAGATGAATCTTTTGTTTCAGATAAAGAGAAGAGTAGACAAGAAAGGCAAAAGCAGAGCTCGCAGTCTGTGAAGAGGGCGTCTGCTGAGGAGGCACATCCTAGAATCAAGATTAAAAAGGAGAAGGAGGATCCTGCTTATGAACGATATGCCAGTGGGAGTCATCAGTCCTGGAATGGGTCTGAGAGGAAACATGCGAGCAGGATGCAACGAGAAGAGGAAGAGCAGAGGCATCAGAGGCAGTCGGAGAGAAGAGGAGAAAAGAGCTCCCAGGAACACAGGGGACAAAACAGTTTGCGGGAAGAGAGAGAAGAGACTGGCAGGAAGAGTGACAGGCACAGCAGCAGGCGAGAAGAGTCGAGGGGACCAGATCCAGGGACCAGCGGGAGAGTAGCACCAGAGAGCCCCATTCCAGGCACAGGGAGCGGGGTTCCACTAGAGATTCCAGCCACCACTGAGCTCTCATGTGAGCACCCCCTAGGGCTATGGCTGCTCCCCTGAGACAGCTCTGCTCCTTGAGCCTAGACAAAAACCTGTGCAGGGCTTCCTGACACCTCTGTATGGATACCCCAGCTGGTGTTTTGGCCTCCCACAGCTTTGACTTTGTCTCTCATTTCACTTCTTGGACAGGGGTCTCCTTGCTGTCTGTGCTGGCAGGCACCCTGCAGAGCAAAAGTGGTTGCTGAGGGTGGCAGGGTGCTGCTCTCCAAATTGCCCGGCACCATCCTGGTGGGAGCATCCCTGGTGTCTGCAGTGAGGCGGCTGCTGGGTGCCGCCTGTGTGTTCTGGGTGCACCCAGCGCCTCTTCCTTGTGTGATGAATCCCAAGAGACGTGCTGTTGAGTTAGAGTGCTTTTTTTGTGTGTTTATTTTTTTAAACTCTTTTAATAAAACTGTTAACCAGAAGAGAGAACTGAAGCAGCACTCTCATTTCCTGGTGTGCTTTTTTTTTGTGTCGTACTGTGTTCAGGCTGACTCGACCTGAACACCAAAGAAGAGGGGCCGGCCCCGGGGGGGGGGTGCGCGGTGGGGGCCGGGCCCCGCTGATGGGGGAAGGGAAGGGAAGGGAAGGGGAAGGGGAAGGGAAGGGGAAGGGGAAGGGAAGGGAAGGGAAGGGAAGGGGAAGGAAGGGGAAGGGGAAGGGGAAGGGAAGGGGAAGGGGAAGGGGAAGGGGAAGGGGGGGCACGGCGGGGCCGCGGCCTCAGCCCGGTGCCGCCAGGGGGCGCCGGCCGCCGGCTGCGCGCGCCGCCCGTGCCGGGGCGGTTCCCGTTCCCGTTCCCGTTCCCGTTCCGTGCCCGTTCCCGTTCCCGTCTCCGCTCCCGTTCCCGTTCCGCTCTCGGCTCCGGTTCCGGCGGCGGGGCGGCCCGCGGCCATGCCATGTCCGCGCTGAGCTGGAAACCCTTCGTGTACGGCGGGCTCGCCTCCATCGTGGCCGAGTTCGGTGAGGAGCGGTTCGGGGGGTACCGGTGATCCCGCTCCGGTACCGCTCCCGGTTCTCTGACGGGCGCTCTCCCCGCAGGCACCTTCCCCGTGGACCTGACCAAGACGCGGCTGCAGGTGCAGGGGCAGAGCGCCGACGCGCGGTTCCGCGAGGTGCGCTACCGGGGCATGTTCCACGCCCTGTTCCGCATCTGCCGCGAGGAGGGCGGCCGCGCCCTCTACTCGGGGTAAGCGGCGGGGCCCGGGGCCGGGGGGCACCGGGAAGGGGGCGTGGGGGCGAGCATCGGGGGACCGGAGGCTCCGGTGGGCTGGGGCTGCGGGGGGGGGGGCACCGGCGTGTGGGGCCTGCGAGGGCAGCGTGCACGGCCCTGAGTTGTCTGGGTGGGGAAGGGAGCTCCGAGATCACCCCATGCAGCCTGACCTAGCGCTAACCAGGCCTCCGCTAAAACACATCACGCTAAACCACATCTAACGTCTTTTAAGACCTCCAGGGATGGTGACTCCGCCACCTCCCTGGGCAGCCTTTTCCAGTGTCCTAACAACCCTTTCCGTAAAGAAGTTCTTCCTAACATCCAACCTAAAACTCCCCCTGGCGCAACTTTAGCCCATTCCCCCTCGTCCTGTCACCAGGCACGTGGGAGAACAGGCCAACCCCCACCTCACGACAGCCTCCTTTGAGGTATCTGTAGAGAGCGATAAGGTCGCCCCTGAGCCTCCTCTTCTCCAGGCTGAACAAGCCCAGCTCCCTCAGCCGCTCCTCGTAGGACTTGTTCTCCAGGCCCCTCACCAGCTTCGTCGCCCTTCTCTGGACCCGCTCAAGCACCTCCATGTCCTTCTTGTAGCGAGGGGCCCAAAACTGAACACAGTACTCGAGGTGCAGCCTCACCAGAGAGACAGAGGGGACAATCACTTCCCTAGCCCTGCTGGCCACACTGCTTCTTGTACAAGCCTGGATGCTGTTGGCCTTCGTGGCCACCTGAGCACACTCCTGAATTCGCTTCAGCCCGGTCTCGTTTGTTCCCCCGCTCAGGATTGCCCCAGCGCTGCTGAGACAGGCATCCTACGGCACCATCAAGATCGGCATTTACCAGAGCCTGAAGCGGCTGTTCGTGGATCGCCTGGAAGGTCGGTGTCGGTGCAGGCAGGTCTCTTCCCGCAGGAGGTGCAGCACGGAGCCATGCGCTTTCTGCTCTGTGTGCTCTGGCTCCTTCCTTTCTCTGCCACCTTTCCCAGCTACAAATTGTCAAAGAAATAGAGTTGTTTTCATCTTCTGCTGCGCCTTTTGTTTGTATAATAACAGCAAGGACAGCTTTCAATATAGATTTGAGCCTTGCTGTGCTTGGCACTGCCCACAGTCACAGAAATGACCCCTGAGCCAAACACCTGCCCCTACAGACAGATCATTACTTACCCCAGCCTTTATCTCTGTTTTGTGGTTTCAGAGCCCCCCCTCCCAAAAGCAAAACAAAACAAAAAACCAACAACCCACCCTGTTCCTGTGTATGGCTGTACACCCATACACAGGGCTGCACACCCCTCCTCACTCGCTGTTGCA